CAGTGAAGGGGTCTTTACTCATATTGACTGATGTTGTTAACAGAGTTGCCGTGGTGACTGCTTAATAAGGCGTAGGCTGGATGTCCCCGGGGTCCCCGAGGCTGTGGAGGCTGGGGGCCTCCCCACTGGGATCGCGGGGTTCCCAGGGCTAGGGGGTGCCGCCCTCGGAGTCAGCCAGCGTGAGCATGAAGACAGCTCTGGCACGCAGCGCCCTGCCTGGCAGGTGGTAGCAGGTCACATGGTCGAGCTGCCACGGTGCCCCGGTGCTGTGCCAACTTCAAGTTATTCATTCACTCCTTCCGCACCCCTCAGAGTCCTCTTGTCTCCATGTTGCAGATGAGCAGGTGGCCCGGGGCTGCCCGGCTGCTGAGGGATGGATTTTGTCCCAGGGGACGGGGTGCCCGGCCTTTGCTCTCTCTCCCTCCCTCCTTTTTCGCTTCTTACCGTGGAACTTTCCAAGTGCAGCGGTGTAGAGAGACGGTAAGGGCCCCTGTTCACGCCCGCCGCACGCGCTGAAGCTCTGTTGGATGCTGGTTGAATGTCGATAACGCCGTGTCGTTACTTTGGCTGGACGTTTAGAAATCTGTTGAAAATGCCGAGCGAGTTGCCGTTTCGGTTGTGAGGGGGGTAAAATGCCTTCCCCAGCATCTCCCCTTCACAGCGGAGCGGCATGGTGGTCCATGCACCCTGCACACAGTAGGTGCTCAATACGTGTTCATTGAATGAATGAGTGAAGGAATCGCTGCTTTATACAAGCAGGGTGCTCCTGGGGAAAGGAAGTGGGCCCAAGGTGGGCGCTGGGCTCCCCCCATCTCCACGTCCCTGCCTCAGTGCCTTTGCACGCACGGAGCTCACAAGGGCCGAAGGCAGGCGGCGGGGCTCCCAGCCTGGTCAGTGCCCTCCTACCCTCTTGCTGACGGGACCGAGCACAGATATCTCAGGTGGGAGGGCATTGTCCTGAGCCGTCCCTGCCTTGGTGCTCTGTCTCCGCACCCCTCTGGCCAGGTCCAGCTAACCAGGAGGTCCCGCGTGCACCGACAGGCTGTGAGCCCCACCCGCCCTGCAAACCAGGGAACCAGAGCCGGGAGGGGGGCGGGCTGTGCCTGTGGCCAGGGTGCCGGTGCTGGTTGCAAACCTACCTTGTCCTGACATTGTCCGAAGGGCTCTGGTTCTTAGACACCAGGTTTCTGGGGTCCTCTGAGAGTCCAGCATTAGATTTCTCCCCGGAAACCTCCTCCTGCTCACCCGTGGCCCCGAGATGGCCCTGCCGTCTCCCTCTTCCCTGGGCAGCTCTCCGTCGTCTCTCCCTGAGTTCACGATGGTCGTCGGTCGCTGTCGTGAGGCTGCGGATGCTCTGCTTCCTGCCGTGTCTCAGCCGAGATGGTGCCTGACCCGTGTCCCCACCGGGACACTGAGTGGACACTGGTCGGGTGGCTTTGGTGGGCGAAGCTCACTCTGTCCTGGGATCTGCCAACCTGGGCAGCTGCTCCTCATGCTCACTCTGGCTTCTTGTCCCCCCACCCCAGGCCATCGTCACCTCCTTGATGACCACCCCCTTGCATGGACCGGCTCCTCCTCTTGGTTCCCACTCCAGCAAATGGCCTGGTTGTCCAAGCCGGCACGGGGGCCTCCCCTTGCTGCCTTCTCCTGATCCCCGTCGCTGGCCACTCCCCAGTCCTGGAGGTCTCTCTGTCCCCATCTCCTCAGCCCCTTCCACGCACATGGCCCGCTCAGGCCGTCCCTCACCCTGCAGCCAGAGGGTCTCCCAAACGACCCACGTCCTTCCTCGCCGGCTGCCTAGTGCCAGCAGGTCAGAGTTCACCCTCACCGTCCTCGTCCCGGTGGCCTCGGCCCTGCTTCCCACCAGCGTCTCCCGTGGGGGTGCCTGCAGCCCAGGAGGCGTGTCCGTGTCAGACACGACAGCGTCGCCCAGACCCCAGGCTGCCCTTCGGGACCAGGGTCCCAGCAAGGCCCACCTGCTCCTTGGTTCTGGAGGTCGGCCCCTCCCTAGCCCCGAGTGCGCCCCTCGGGCAGAGCTGACCACGGGCGGGCGCAGGGTCTGGGCCACTGGTAGAGTGTGGCTGGCGCTCCTCTCTCGTTCCAGGGAGCCAGCCTCCAAATCCTGGACTTTCCCAAGTGAGAGGGGTGTCTGTGATTCATGATGGTTTGTGCCAGGGAGGCGCCTCTTGGGGGACCCCTGGATGGTTTATGCGGACAGGACCACTCAGGACGGGGCTGCCGAGCCAGGAGGACCAGCCGTGGGGTTAGAGGAATGGGGCTGTCACCTCCCAGGGGCTGGAGACCGAGATCAGTCAGCGGCCATTCGATCAGCGGTGCCTGCGGATCGATGGATCGAACCATGATTCAGTCATGTCTGCGGAACGAGACCCCAGTAACAGCCTGGACTCGGCACGGCTGAGCCGCCCTGGGTGGTGACGACATGTCCGTGTCCGGCCTCCATGGGGAGAGGGCACGGGGGTGTCCTGTGCAGGACCCCAGACCTCCTGCACATCTGCCCCTGGGCTGGTCCTGAGCTGTGTCCTTTGGAATCAGCCGTGTTTGTGGGTGTGGCCCTCTCCCGAGTTCTGAGTCAGTCTAGTGAATGACCGATCCTCAGGGGTGATGGGAGCCTCCAGTTTGTAGCCAGCTGGTCACAAATGGGGTGACCTGGGGACCCCCGCCTTGCTGCTGGTGTCTGAAGTGAGGGCCGTCCTAAGGAGGACAGCGCCCTTCACCTGTGAAGTGTGACCCGACCCCGGGCAGAAGTCACTGCATGTGCAGGTGTGGCTGTCGGGGGACTCTGCCCGCTCAGAGGGGCTTGTGGGGCTGGCGGGAACCTGCCTCCCGTGTAGCTTTCCTTTTCCTGGGCTGGGGGGTGGGGGGGACAGGGGGGAAGGCAGGGGCCAGAGGGCAGGGACTAGGGGGCAGGCAGGGGCAGGGGGAAGGCAGGGGCCAGAGGGCAGGGATTGGGGAGCAGGCAGGGGCAGGGGGGCAGGCAGGGGCGTGGGGGACAGGGACTGGGGGGCAGGCAGGAGCAGGAGCCGGGGGCCGGAGGGCAGGCAGGGGCTGGGGACAGGGGCTGGGGGAAGTCAGGGCTGGGGGGACAGGGACTGGGAGACAGGCAGTGGAGGGAGGCAGGGGCGGAGGGCAGGCAGGGGCTGGGGACAGGCAGGGGCCGGAGGGCAGGTAGGGGCTGGGGGACAGGCAGGGGCTGGAGGGCAGGCAGGGGCTGGGGGACAGGCAGGGGCTGGGGGACAGGCAGGGGCCGGAGGGCAGGCAGGGGCCGGGGGACAGGCAGGGGCTGGAGGGCAGGCAGGGGCTGGGGACAGGCAGGGCTGGGGGATAGGCAGGGGCTGGGGACAGGCAGGGGCTGGGGACAGGCAGGGGCTGGGGGACAGGCAGGGGCTGGGGACAGGCAGGGGCTGGGGGGCAGGCAGGGGCTGGAGGGCAGGCAGGGGCTGGGGGACAGGCAGAGGCTGGGGACAGGCAGGGGCTGGGGGGCAGGCAGGGGCCGGAGGGCAGGCAGGGGCTGGGGACAGGCAGGGCCGTGTCTGATCACTCTCCCCCCAGCCGAGCACACGGTGGGCCCTCAGAGAATGATGGTTGAGCTGACCCTTTATTTGCCAAATTATTTAGCGCATCCCAGGACCTCCCACGTGGTCTCATTTCAGGACGAATAGTGCCACCCGTGTCTGACCTTCCACAGCTTCAGAGGCAAAGCTGTCTTCCTGCTCGCTCCAGCGGCGAGCCCAGTCTCGGGGACCGTGGGCCCCGGCCTTCGAGGTGGTGGAGTGCTGTGGGGGTCAGTGTGCCCCGGGCACAGCCACCAAAGGTCTCGTACGGGGAACGCCCCCCTGGCAAGCGCGCGAGTGGATGTGCGGTTCCGGCGCCATGCAGACGATGGGGACCGGCGAGTGAGGAGCCCGTGAACCCCGAGGCCGCCGGGTGGGGACTGAACCGGCTCTGGCTTCTGCGCGCGGAGTGGCTGCCAGGCTCCCGGAAGACGCGCTCGTGTCCTGAATAATAAGCAGGTGTCCTGCAAGGCAGCGGGGCAGGGCCGGCAGAGTGTGTGTGTGTCTGTGTGTGCGTGCGCACGTGTGTTTATGTGTGTGTGCATGTGCACCTATGCATGTGCATGTGTGTGCACACGTGTTCGTGAGTCTCTGCATGTGTAGGTGTGTTTGTGTTTGTACATGTGCATATGCATGTGCACGCATGTGTGTATGTGGTCCTGACACGTTACCTTTCAGAGCTGGAAGGGCATGAGGTTGCTTTGTGATCATCCTCACTTCAGGTAAACATCTGAAACCAGATGTAAATACTTGTTTACAAAGAACATGCGTTCGAAGTGCCCATTTCCAGGCGGGTGGGACAGCCTTACTTTCGTCGGGTCCTGTAATCTTTCTGTAGTCAGCCCTTCAGTCATTATGTGGACATAATTCCGCCAAGGCACAAGCAGCCTGGACTCGGGGGCACAGGTGGTCAGACCCAGGGTGGCCCTCGAGGAGACCGCCCCCGCTGTCCTGAGTGGGGCGAGCACCGTGTGTCCAGACAATCCCAGGGTGGCCTGGGACACGCCGGGGGCCACGACCCAGCAGCCACGCTTCCGAGAGGGCTCCTGTGCCCTGTGACGCACACCTGGAGCAGCTGCCCCAGCCACCCGGCTTTCTCCAGGGTCCCGAGTCCTGGGGTCCGCAGGGCAAGTGCCTTACCTTTGTGGGCGAGGCAGCAGCGAGCGCCACACACTGGCTTTGAGGCCTGTCGTGTCTGACTGTGGCTCTGCACTGGTGACTTGGGCTACTGGGCCAGGTTTTCCATTTGCAGCGAGGAGGCTGGTGGTGACGATGAATGTGGCTAGTACGCCCCGAGCGTCGTGTAGCAGATGCTCGGTCGGCAGGTGCTGCCTTGGCCATGTGCTTGCCGCCTGCACCTCTTATGTCCGAGAGAGGCAGCCTGGGTGTTGGTGCTTTGGCGAGGCTCATGCCTGTGTCTTCCCACAGGGGAGGACCACTTTGGGAGACGCATCGTCACGTTCAGCTGCTGCCGGATGCCCCCTTCCCACGAGCTGAACCACAGGCGCCTGCTGGAGTAAGTCCCGTCCTGTGACACACCCCGCCACACACGCCTCCCTGTGCACACACACACCTCCCTGTGCACACGCCTCCCTATGCACACACCTCCCCATGCACACATGCCTCCCTATGCACACACCTCCCCACGCACACATGCCTCCCTATGCACACACCTCCCCATGCACACATGCCTCCCTGTGCACACGCCTCCCCATGCAAACATGCCTCCCTGTGCACACGCCTCCCTATGCACACACCTCCCCATGCACACATGCCTCCCTGTGCACACACCTCCCCATGCACACATGCCTCCCTGTGCACACGCCTCCCCATGCACATACACCCCTCCACACATGCCTCCCTGTGCACATGCCTCCCATGCACACGCCTCCCCATGCACATACACCCCTCCACACACGCCTCCCTGTGCACATGCCTCCCGTGCACACGCCTCCCCATGCACATGCCCCGCCGTCTCTCAGCACAGAACAGGTGGATGTTCAGATGGATGTGCAGGGTCAAAGGCTAACATACGTAGATTGACTAGTGGCTCCCCAGGAAGATGTCATATTGACTGCCAGGTCACCAAACCTGCCCGCAGGACAGCTGCCTCCAGCCCAGGGTGGCTTCAGGGCCAGTCCTGAGCTTTGGCTTTAGGCCTCAAGGCCCTGTTGGGCCTCCCTCTTCCCCAGAGCCCCCACCCTTCACCCCAGGCCCTCTGCATTTGCTTAGCTTCCTGCTCAGAAGGAAGAACCTCCCATTCACTGTGTGGCCTTGGCCGCCGTCACTCCTCCTCCACCCTGTCCCTTGCTGCTGGCATCTGCGTGCTCGTGCGAGGGCCACGCTGCCGCCAGTGCCCTTCCCGGTGGGACCAGTGGGCTGGGGAGGCCAGGGTACCGCTTGCCGACTCTGTCCGGGAGACCTCGGCCGGTGACAAACTGTCTGGGGGGAGGAAGCCACTGGCTGAGGGCAGCCCCTGCTCCACAGGCCGCCGTGGCCACTTTCAATCAAGTGTCCTCCGTTCAGCAAGTTCCGCTGCCAGGCCAGTGCAGCCAGGCACCTGCGGCGGCCCGAGGGCGGGTGGCTAGGTCTGGGCACTTCCTGTGCCCATGGGGCCCTGGAGATGCCCCTGCCTGGCATCTGCTCTCTGACACTCTCGCGTTGTGTGCCATCCCGTGGCCGAACCCCGGCCCGTTTCTGGGCGTTTCTGGGCACATCTGTGTGCCCCTGTGAGGGGCAGAGAGGGGTGCCGGCGGCCAGGGGGCCTCGCTCGTGGCTGGGGACGGCTCGAAGGCCACAGCAGCGGGAGGCTGTGTCTGCGCTCCCAGACCCCAGATCCTGGTCACGAGAGCCCAGCAACTGCCAGGGCACAGCTCAGGGCACGCCACCTGGAGCCCCAGCCCACAAAGCCCGGCTGGATTGAGAAGCGCCTGGAAGCCTCGGGTGCTTCGTGAGAGTCCCCGGACCCACACATCCATCCGATCCGTTGAGGCCCCTCCAGCGGCAGCTCGGGGTACAGGGGTGGCGGCAGAGTTTCTGCCAGGCCCAGGTGCCGGGACAGTCTCAGCCCCAATGGCTGCCACCGGGATGTGCCCCCCCCAGGGAGCTGACACCGTCTGTATCCCAGCTCAGGGCTCACGGGGCCCCCAGGGAGAGCTTCACCTGGTCCCAGGACAGCACTTGTCCTGGGTCCTCCGAGATTCAACACACTCCCTTCTCAATTTGTTCCTTTTGTGACAAAATAATCCACGGCCCTGGCCAGTTTGGCTCAGCGGTTAGAGTGGACCGGAGAAACCCGGGTTCAGTTCCCGCTAAGGGTACGTACCTCAGTTTTGCAGTTTGTCCCCGGTCCTGGTTGGTCGTGCGGGTGGCAGCCACTCGATGTGTCTCTCTCACGTCGATGTTTCTCTCTCTCTCCCTCCCGCTCTATCTGAAGATGCATGCAAAAATGTCCTCGGGTGAGGATTTAAAAAAATAATAAATAAAATAACCCCTGACTCCCGTGGGTCAGCCGCACCCACGGTGCCTCTCCTGGGCCAGGAGCGAGTCCAGAATTTGTCTTCTTGTAAAGACGGAAGGACCCCTGTCCCACAAGGCCGGCTGGCGGTGGCTGGCGGCAGGGGCGGGGAGACCCTGGGGATGGACGTGCTCGGGGCTGATGGAAACATCTGGACCTGGAGAGAGGTGGTGGCCGCGCCACGCTGCCAGGGTGCCACCTGGTTGCTCAGTTCCACATGAAGTTGTGGGCACCACCCCCGCCCACAGACATGAGCCGGGCTGGCACGCCGTGCTCTTCCCACACCTGCCCGGGGACCTTCCCTGCCGGAGGGGGTGGTCAGCGCACCGCTGTGCACCGCTGTGCAGTTGTTCCCGCACAGGGGCCCCAGGGAGAGGTGCCCTCGGGGTGCCCTCACACGTAGGAGGCGGGAGCATCTTCTTCCAATTTAGACGCAGGTGCCCTGTGGGCTTTCGGGGGTGCTGGGAAGACCCCTCAGGCTTTCCCACGGCCTCTGAGCAGACATGCCTGCCATGCATGTCACCCCTCCTCCCGGGTGGGGCGCCCCCCTGCCAGATGTGTGCTCCTGTTTTGGGAACGGGTGAGGGGATAAGCCCACGCCTGTGGAGCTGAGCCAGCGACTGCAGTCAGTGACGTCCTGTGCTCAGCATGCGCGGCAGATGTGTCCAGTGCCCGGAGGAACACGCGTGTCGATGGAAAGAACCGGGGTGGGGTGACATGGGGCCAGGAAAGGTCCCTGCTTCTACTAGGAGTGACCGGGTGGACGGGCGAGCTGAGCGAAGACACTCCCCAGTTTCCTTAGAGAGAAAGGAAGGGAGGGGGGAGAGAGAAACATGGATCGTCTGCCTCCTGCACGCCCCCGACTGGGGACCAAGCCTGCAACTTGGGCATGTGCCCTGACCAGGAATCGACCCGGGACCTCTCCGTCCATGGGGTGGCGCTCCACCCACCGAGCCTCTCGGGGAGGGTTGAGAAAGGCAGCAGCGAGCACCCTCCCGGAAATGATGAGGGATTCTCAGCGGCTCCGGACGCGCTCCCCTTGGAGGTCTCCACGGGGGTTCTGTCTGGGGTGAGCTCAGTGAATCTCCCCCGATGGATCCCCCCAGAGGGCGTCCGGGTGCTGACGTGGCTCCACGCTGGGTGAGCGGGACGACAGGCAGTGTGAAGTCCCGCTGGGCGCACTGGGCAGGGCAGTGTGGCCAGAGGACCCCGAGCCACGCTGTCCTTCCAGGCCCTGCCCTCCCCGACCCCCGCCGGCCTCGGCAGGCTGCTCCGTAAGAAGAGGTCAGAGTGGCGCCCGCCTCGCGGGGTCTCCGTGAGAATGACGGGAGTGGACACAAGGCAGTGGCCCACGTGGTCAGCACCGGCACAGAGGACACGTTGATATTGTTTAGAAATCAAACCAGCCAAGGAGGCGCTGACAGCCTTCTGTGCAAGGAGAGAGCCCCACCGAGGTGTCCAGCAGGACAGGCCTGTCGAGCCCTTGCAGACGGGTGGCAGCTGCTGGGGTTTATTCCTGGGTGGTTCTGGGGACGCGTGTCCACACCACGGACCCAGAGCTCCAGCAGGCTGCGTTTGCCTGGCACACGGTGTCTACGGGTGTGCGCCCTGCCACGGCCTCCGGGAAGCCGGCGACTCCCGGGGATGCCAGGCCGGGTGAAGGACTGGCTGCGCCTCTCGTAACGCCACGGCGCCCTGCCACGGCCTCCTGCCACGGCCTCCGGGGAGCCGGCGACTCCCGGGGATGCCAGGCCGGGTGAAGGACAGGCTGCGCCTCTCGTAACGCCACGGCCTCCTGCCACGGCCTCCTGCCACGGCGCCCTGCCACGGCCTCCTGCCACGGCGCCCTGCCACGGCCTCCTGCCACGCACGAGATGACCAGTGCGACGTCCCGAGTGATGTGGGGGTTTGGACGCTGGACCGCAGGGTGCCCGGGGTGACCACTCCTTAGAAGTGACTGGAGGCCCGTGGAGCCTGTTCTGTGGATGTGGTCACGGCAAGAGCAGAGCGGAGCCGGGATCCTACGATGCGGGAAAATGAGAGCACGGGGCTGATCCAGAAAGAGGGAACGGCTCCCTCTGGAAATGCAGAGGGAGGGGTGCGCCCGTCCAGTCCCAGGCCCAGTCCTGCCTCTGTGCTGCTTTCCCGTGGCTGTTGAGACACACTAGGCGGCATGAAACAGGGACAGTCGCCCCCTCGCAGTGCTGGAGGCCGGCGGCTGGAGTCGGGGTGTGTGCAGGCTCTGCTCCCCCGGAGAGAACACCTCCTGCCTTTTCCGGCTCCCGAAGGCTGGCGGTCACCCTCCTGCGCTGGAGGCTGGCACCCCCTGCTCGTCCCCCGTCTCCTCGTGTCCGCCTCCCTCTGTGACTCCCTCTCCTGACCTCTGCTGTATAAGGAGACGTGTGACACCTGGGTAATCCAGCATCAGCTCCTCTCCCAAGACCCTTAATCACATCTGCTAAGACCCTTTTCCTTTTTCTTTTATCCTCACCCGAGAACATTTTTGCATTTATGTTCAGATAGAGCGAGAGGGGGGAAGAGAGAGAGAAACTTCGATGTGAGAGGGACACATCGACTGGCTGCCACCCGCACGACCCCAACTGGGGCCGGGGACAAACTGCAACTGAGGTACATGGCCTTAGCGGGAACCGAACCCGGGTCTCTGGTCCGCGGGCTGACGCTCTAACCGCTGGGCACACCAGCCAGGGCCAAGACCCTTTTTCAAAGGAAGCCTCAGTCCCTGCTGCCAGGGATCTGACCTGGATGCCATTTGGGGGTCGTTCTTGGCCTTCCACATCTACCTACTAGCTGTGCGACCTCAGGTAAGTGACTTAACATCCTGCCACCTCACCCGTGAGGACCGGGCCCCCGGTGAGTGGACTCTCAGGGTGGCCCCAGATGTGTCTCCGCATGGCCCAGGGCTGACACCCACTGGGCCACCCCAGCTTCCGTCGTGGGGGAGCCTGTTTGGTGCTAGTAAGAAGGGGTGCCTTTCATAACCCAGTCTGTGCCCCGTGCCCAGGTACTTGAAGTACACGCTGGACCAGTACGTGGAGAGCGATTACACCATTGTCTACTTCCACTACGGGCTGAACAGCCAGAACAAGCCGGCCCTGCGCTGGCTGCAGAACGCTTACAAGGAGTTCGACAGGAAGTGCGTGCCCGCCACCCTCGCTGGGCAGGGGCGGGGCAGGAGACGGGAGCCTGGGGTAACGGGTCCCCTCCTTTAGGGCCAGGGACTCTGCCCAGCGTGCTCCACGGGGGCAGGGGTGGCACCTGTGTCCTCACTGGGCCAGCAGTCAGTGTCCTGGTGCAGGCGGTCGGGTCTTGGTCGCAACCACGCAACTCTGCCGCATAGCGAGAGCGGCCACGCCGGTGCGTGAACACGCAGGCGGGAGCACGTGCCCATGGAAGTCGTTTCGGACGATGAAATGGGAACGTCACTCCATTTTCATGTCATGTCATGAACGCTCATCCTTTCCATTTTTCCTCAACCACGTGCAAGGGGAAAGCCCTTCTTGGCTCGCGAGCTATGTGAAAGCAGTGGGCAGGCCCGATCTGACACCCCGCGGGCCCACGCTCCGTCCCCGCCCCGTGCACGCCAGCTGCCTTGGCTCGGCCTGATGGCTTCGGACTGAATTATTCAGGAAGGAGGCAGGGAGGCAAGCTAAGAAGCACCTCGTTTATAAGTGGGTGCCTGGCGCCCGCTGTGTGAGATGCTGTGGCCCATCTCGCAGCCTGTGTGACCCGCCCGGTGGGCTCCCTGCTGCCCCAGAATCCATTCCCAGGGGAGAAGGGGGAGGAAGGGTCTGGGCAGTTTCCATGTTCGGAGCGTTGCCACCTTGCCGTCCGGTGTGCGCCCACCCGGCCTCCACGAGAGTGAGCTCTGGTCGGTCATCTCAGACAGCTGTGCGCACGCCTGGGGGCTGTGGTGGGTGGGGGGGCCCGTTGTCCCCCGAGTTCGAACCCTTTCTAAGTTTGGTTCGACGTCCTTGAATCGGCTCAGGTGTGTCTCCGGGTGGCACCCTCTGAAGTCATGCGCCTTCCCTCAGGTACAAGAAGAACTTGAAGGCTCTCTATGTCGTACACCCCACCAACTTCATCAAAGTGCTGTGGAACGTCCTCAAACCCCTTATCAGGTATGCGGCCCCTCTGCTGACCACTGTCCACGTTCCTGCTCTGGCTTCCCAAGGTCCCAGCGACCTCACTCAGTGAGCCGTTACACGCATACATGTGCTCACACATGCACACAGTCATGTACATACACTGTCTCTGCTCACAAATTCACACACACTCAACCACACACTGTCTATGCTCACATGCACACTCATGCTCACACATCTGCACACACATGTACACACACCATCTGCTCACATGCACACACCATCTGTGCTCACATGTGTGCACACACGCACACACACCATCTATGCTCACATGTGCACACACTCATGCACACACACCATCTGTGCTCACACACGCACACACACCATCTATGCTCACATGTGCACACACCCTCATGCACACACACCATCTGTGCTCACATGTGCACACGCACTCATGCACACACACCATCTGTGCTCACATGTGCACACACACTCATGCACACACACCATCTGTGATTCCCAGATTGCTCTCCAGGGCCCACTTGCCTTCTGAGCCCCTTCCAGTCTCTGGACCACTCTGGGACTTGAGAAGGAACTACCCAGTGTGTCTCGTGGTGTGAGGTGACTGGAGGAACCCTGTGCTGCCCACCTCAGTGTACAGAGTCCTGAGCCCTGCTTGCCATTCGTGGAGCCTGGGCTCTAGCAAGTGCATGGCCGGCCAGAGAGGGGCACCGGGAATGCAGGCAGAACGATGAGAGGTTCTTGCATTGGCACGAGGAGCCTCCCAGAAGCTCTGACGCTGACACCTCTGTCCCCGCAGATGGCTCTGGGGGTCCAGGCAGCGGTCTGGTTCCCCCTCATCCACTAGGGGGAGCTAGTGCACGCAGCTGGGCCTCCCACCGGCTGTAGGCTCAAGCAGGGCTCCTAATAAAACAGTTCTGTTTCAATTATAAAAAATGGGGAGGTTCTGGAGACCTGGGCGCCATAGCACCTGAGGTAACATTGCAGCATCGTGCACTTGAAAGCTGGGTAAGAGGGTGCAGCTCACGTCGTGTTCACACGCGCATGCGCGCACACACACAAAGGGACAGGAGGAAGCTGAGGCGATGGCCGTGCTCGTCACTTTGTGGAGACGGTCACGGCGCACGCGTACACACTCACCCGGTGTGTGGGTGAACAGCGCAGCTTTGTGTAAGTCAGTCTTCTTCAGGGAAGCTGTGCAGACGAGCTCAGCTGGTTGGAGCGTCGTCCCATGCACCGGAAGGTTGTGGGTTCAAGTCCCGGTCAGGGCACCTACAAGAGGCGACTGATCCACGTTTCTCTCTCACCTTGATTTTACTCTCTCCCATCCTCTCTCTCTAAAATCAATAAGAAAACAAACATCTTCAGGTGAGGATTAAAAAAAAAAAATTAAAGAAGAAAAACAAGCAGCCCAGTCGGTGGTGGTCGCTTGGCAGGAGCGGCGCTGGGCGGGCTCCGCATTCGACCCTCCTGTCCCCCTTTGCAGCCCAGGGAGCAGAGGACACGGAACAGTGTGGTAGTGACTGTGTCAGGTGGGCGCTAGGTTTATCGGGGGATCGCTTCCCGCATTACATAAATGTCTCATCACTAGATTGTACACCTGAAACCAATATACTGTGTGTCAACTGTAACTGAAAAATAAAAAATCACTTAAAAGTAAATGAGAAAACATAGCAATGGACACAGTCGTCATGTCCGCCAGGGCCTGGACAGTGACTGCTTTACACCCATAGTCGCCTTTAGGAGGGAGAAGCCCAGTTTTCACGGGGGGACTGAGCCTGCAGGTGGGTGAGTTGACTCGTCCAGGGTTTGTCTGGCCTTGTGGCCATGCTGGCTCCCAGGGTGACGGTGGCCTGGAGGGGACTCGGGTGTGGTCCCTGCCCCCACAGGACCCTCACGGAGAGGAGATGGGTGAGCGGGAAGCCACCCTCTCTGGGCCGCCCTTGCGGCGCCCTGTGGCTCCCGCACGTCTGCAGGGTCCCGGCAGATTCATACTGGACGAGTCTGTCGAGCGCTTGGTGCATCTGAGATCTTACGAAGGCGGCCGAGCGGACGGTTCGGCCTCGGCCTCGGCCCTTCCCGGTTTGAGGACACCTGCTACCGAGCAGCCTCGTTCTCCCCACCCGCGGCCCCTGCCGCCACCCTCCCTGTCTCAGTCTCTTCTGCTTTTCAGCCACAAGTTTGGGAAGAAAGTCACCTATCTCAACTGCCTGAGTGACCTCCGGGAGCACGTCAAGTGTGACCAGCTGGCCATCCCCCCGGAAGTCGTGCGGTGAGTCACGCCCCGACCCACGGCCTCGGCGCCGTCCCGTCCCGTCCGTGTGGAAGGCTCCACGTCCCACGCGTGCCGGCAGGATGCCGGCTCGGCAGAAGGGGCCGAGGGAGGTGCGTGCTGACCGGTGTTTTCCTCGCCCACCACTGCGAACGGATTAGAGAATGACAGAGACCTGCCGCGTGCTGCTCCGCGCAGCGGCTGGAGCAGAGAGTAGGGTGGCTCTGGCGGCGGTGACACTGCGGACTGAGGTGTTCTCAGGAACAGCACAGGTGCCCGGGGGAACAGCGCGTTCGGTGGCGTGTGGCCGAAGCCTGGTGGTGTGTCTGCTGGTTATTCGACACCGCAGTGATGCTCCCCGTCAGTCCCGTGGCATGGGGGGCAGAGGAGCCCAGAACGCATGTGGCCCTCGCCCGACAGCCAGTGCAGAGAGGACCCAATCAAGCCCATGCCTCGGACCCTGCCTGGGCGCCCTCGGACCTGCCTGGGCACCCTAGACCCTGCCTCGGGCACCCTAAACCCTGCCTCGGGCTCCCTGATGCTGGGGGTGCCCTCTCACCTCTGCATCTCCCTCTCTGGGGCTCCCCTGAAAGAACAGGGCCCTCCCTGGCCAAGCCGCACGCAGGTGTGGTCAGCAGCCTTGCAGGGGGAGTGGCGATGTTGAACTCCCTCTGGGTACAGGGCTGAGCTGTGTAGGGAGCCTCTCTGCCCTCGGGACACTCCCAGGCAGGAGGGGCCACAAGGCAGTGATGACAGGCTGCAGGAAGCCCTGAACCCAGCTAGGGAGGGGGCGAGTGGAGAGGGAGGATCACAGAAGGCTTCTAGGAGGAGGTGACTCCTGAGCTTCGCAGGGACAGCTGGCTGGATCACGAAGCCGAGGAAGGGTGTTTGCCCCAGAGGGAGAGTCTGTGCAGACGCACGTGGGTGAAATATTGGCGGCGGCCCCTGGTGGTCCAAGGCCTGCAGGTGAGAGCCGGCTCCTGCTGTGTCCACAGGTACGACCAGAAGCTCCGGGACCTGCGCAAGGGCAGGTCGCTCCCTCCCGCCAAGACGCCGCCGCCGCGGCCCCCTCTGCCCACCCAGCAGTTCGGTGTCAGTCTGCAGTAGTAAGTGAGCCAGGGCCGAGGCCTGTTCTTGTTTCCTCTGGGGCTGGGGCCATGGGACGCTTCTGCGTGCTGGCAGGTTGTCCCCAGGCCGGGTGCCGGCTGCTGTGTGCGTGTCTGCAGCTGCGCGCAGGGGACCCAGCAGCATGCAGAGGACTGGGGACCTGGGGTTCTCACCCCAGCTTTCGTCACCGCTGCTCACCAGGTGGCTGGCCGGCCACAGCAGGGACACGTCTCACCACCTCGGAAGTGAAGTGTGGCGGCGTGCCTTGCCCTGGTCAGGAGACAGGAGCAGCGGGGGCAGGTCACATCGGGAGGGAGCTCGAGCCAGTGTGCGGTTTGTCCCGTGGGGGTGGGAGCCAGGTCGAGATGGCACCTCACATCCCCGTGTGACCACAGTCTGTCCCCTGCTGACACCCGTGTGGGACACAGAACACAAGTAAGAGGTGTATTTGTGTTGGGTTCCACTGCTGGATTTAGGGTCCGTTGTCACTGTGGCATGTCCTGTCCTTCCTGACTGCTCTCTCCCTTACTAGCCACGTGACCTTGAACTCATTCCCCCTCTCAACTTTCTTATTTCTGAAATGAATGAGTTGGATGATGTGATGTTTAACCTTTCGTCACTCCTTGTAAAGGATTCTGGGCCACCACTTGGGGCCATCTTTGACTCTTTAAGACTCAGCTCAGGGGCACCTCCTCCAGGAAGCCTTCCCTGATACTCTAGATTGCACACAGGGCCCTCCTCCATGGCAGCCCCATCCAAGCAGGCTATCCTCCGGAATCTCTCAGGCTGTTTTCCCTGTCTCTGGTGAGTTTATTTTTGTTAATCCTCACCCAAGGATATTTTCCACTGATTTTTAGATAGAGTGGAAGGAGAGAAGGAGAAAGAGAGAAAATCGATGTGAGAGAGACACATCAATTGGTTGCCTCCCGCATGACCCCCACTGGGGCCAGGGATCAAACCCGCAACCCAGGCACCAGCCCTTGGCCAGGAATTGAACCCGAGACCCCTCAGTCCTCAGGCTTATGCTCTAACCGCTGAGCCAAACCGGCCAGGGTGGTGCTGAGCTGTTCATTCATCTTCCCTCTGTCCCGAGCAGTGGCCTGGCACAGAGGCACCTGGATGGCCAGGGAGGGGGTTACCCTCCAGCCTCGTGGGGCAGCTGGACCCGTTCTCCTCACTGTGCAGGAAAAGCAGAGCCAGACGCTGGTGGGCAGACAGCTCAGCCCACGCAAGTCAATCACTTCCTGTGTTTCTTACATAGAAGCCTGTTGAGCCTGGCTGGTGTGGCTCAGTGGTTGAGCATCAACCCATGCACCAAGAGGTCGCCAGTTCAATTCCCGGTCAGGACACGTGCCCAGGTTGTGGGCTGGATCCCCAGAGTGGGGCGTGCAGGAGGCAGCCAATCGATGTTCTCTCTCATCGATGTTTCTAGCTCTCTCCCCCTCCCTTCCTGTCTCTCTAAAATCAATAAAGAAAAAAAATAAAAAATAAAAATGCAGCTCTGGGCCTTTGGGTTTCACCCCCAGACCCCCAACTAGACACACACAGTCGTGTTCCCTTAAAGAGGCATTTCATAAGCACTTAGCGAGTACAGTGTATGTCAGATGGGAGCTTCCTCTGTACCTGGAACCAAAGTTCACCAAATGACACATCCTTTCCTTTTTGTTTTTAATTCTCACCCGAGGATATTTTTACATTTATCTTCAGACAGAGAGGGAGGGAGAGAAAACGTTAATGTGGGAGAGACACATCGACTGGCTGCCTCCCGCACAACCCCAACCAGGGACAGAGACGAACTGCAACTGAGGCATGTGCCCTTGGCTGGAATCGAACCCAGGACTCTGGTTCACGTGCCGACGCTCTAACCGCTGAGCCAAACCAGCCAGGGCAAGACCTCTTTTTGTTTTATTTTTTATTTATTTTTATTTTTTTTATCCTCACCCGAGGATATTTTTCCATTTTTTGCACAGATAGAGTAGGAGGGAGAGAGAGGAAGGGAGAGAGAGAGAGAAACCTCGATGTGAAAGGGACACATCGAGTGGCTGCCACCCGCACAACCAACCAGGGCCGGGGACAAACTGCAACCGAGGCACGTGCCCTTAGCGGGAACCGAACCCGGGTCTCTCCAGACCGCAGGTCAACGCTCTAACCGCTGAGCCAAACTGGCCAGGGCAAGACCTCTTTTTGAATGAGTGTGACCCCAAGCCCCTAAAGGCCCCGGGAAGGCAGGGTGCAGAATGCAGCTGCAGTGACCGCGGGCCCCTCTGGGGGCGCTGGTGAGAACTCAGCCCTCAGAGGAGGGTCCCAGAGATGCCCAGCCAGCAGGCCTGGGATTTCCAAGCCACCTGTGACCCTTTTACCTGTTTCTGGCCCATCCTGAGATCCTGCTGTGCTGGTGTGTCCCGACACACAGGAGTCCTTGGTGGTGTGGCCAGGGCCACTGGCCTTTCCATCATCAACCCCTCCACCTGATGACTCGCAGTACCTTTTGGGTTGACTCCCTCGTTGTTCAGAACCCCCATTGTCTAATAAAACTTTAAAAATGAAAACCCAGCCCTGGTTGGTTTGGCTCAGCGGTTGGAGCATCGGCCCGCGGACCAGAGAGTCCCGGGTTCGATTCCGCTAAGGGCACGTACCTCGGTTGCAGTTTGTCCCCGGCCCCGGTTGGGGTTGCGCGGGTGGCAACCAGTTGATGTGTCCCTTTTACATCGATGTTTCTCTCTCTCTCTTCCTCCCTCTCCTTACTGCTGTGTCTGAAGATTAATGCAAAAATGTCCTCGGATGAGGATAAAAAAAAAAGAAAGAAAACCCCAAAACATGCCCATCTCATGGGTTTCAAAAGCCACCCCACCCGAGTGTTGGGGACACAGTTGGTCATCGTTGTGGTCCTCTGCTCTGTGAAGCCCGCGGGCCCGGTGGTCTTGGGTTTGGAGCAGGCGCCTCTCTGAATGTGTTGACACGGCGTTTGAGCCCCAGATCCAAGGCAGGTGTTAGCAGAGTCCCTTATAAAAGCCACGGTCCATTCCGACACAGGACCAGTCACTGTAGAAGTCGGTTCGTTCTGTCTTTCGGGGGCGGTGGGGAGCATTGAGTGACCTTTGAAAACCTGTGCCACGTCGAGGGAGAATCCTCGCGATCGCCTCTTTAAATTAATATTTTATGCAATTTCATTGCGAACAACTATAATAAAATGGCAATAAGCATATTAAATAAAGCACCAAATATGTAATTTGCTTGTGCGATGAATGAATAAACATCATTAAAATTCATAACCAAATCCTATTCGCAAATGTTAATTGGCTGAGTTAAGTTCAAAAGCCCACGACAGAAAGTTATCGTCTTAGAACAAGCTAATGAAGTTAGTATATTGTGGGGAAGTCAGAGATTCAGGGGTCTTTGCTGGCTTGCCATCCCTGAAGAGAGAGAACGGATACGCACCTGTGCATTTAATACAACCCTATCCGGGCAGGTGCAGCCTGGGGGGAAGGGGGGGGCTCCTTAGGGTGGAAGAGGGGAGCCCATGTCCCAGCTCTGGCAATCCCCAGCTTTGGGAAGTCAAGCTGACAACCCTAGTTTCTTTCTCTGTAACTGAAAGTGAAACCCTCCCTCCTCACCCTCCAGGACCGCTGGGGCTTAGCAACAGAGTGTCAGACTCTATGAGCCAGTTGCTGCCGAGCAGCGCTTTGCCTGCTCTTATTCCTCTTTCATAGTCCCCTCCTCCAGGAAGCCTTCCCTGATGACTCTATACAAACTATTTGTTGAAAAGACGGGTTTTCTCTCTTGGAATTGCCTTGGCACCCTTGTCAAAATGAATTGACCAGCCCTGGCTGGTGCGGCTCAGTTGCTCAGTTGTTTGGGGCGTCATCCCATGCACTGAAAGGTCATGGGCTCGATTCCTGGACACGGCACATACCCAGGTTGCAGGTTTGATCCCCAGTCGGGTGTGCACAGGAGGCAACCAATCGATGTTTCTCTTACATCAATGTTTTGTGCTCTCTCTCCCTCTCTTCTCCTCTCTCTCTAAAAAAATAAGTAAGTAAATAAATAAATAAAAAAGAGCGTATTCTCTGGTGAAGGTTGAAAACAAAAACTGCCCAGCCGGTGTGGCTTCGTGGATTGAGCATGGTGCCATGGACTGAGAGGTCCCCAATTGATTCCCAGTCAGGGCACGTGCCCAGGTTGCGGGCTCAATCCCCAGTAGGGGGCGTGCAGGAGGCGGCCAATCAATGTTTCTCTCTCATATTGATGTTTCTGTCTCACATCAATGTTTCTCTCTCTCTCTCCCTCTAAAAGGTCAATAGAAACATATTTAAAAAAATAAAAACAACAAAAACGTATTGACCATAAATGTGATTTCTGGACTCTCCATTCTATTCTGATTGCTCTGCTTGCTGGAGTGGCCCCGTCTTATCACTGAAACTTAGTAAGTTTCGAAATCAGAAGTGTGAGTCGACCAACTGCTGCTTCTTCCAGATCATGTTGGCTGTTCCGGGTGTCTTGGATTTCCATGTGAATTTCAGAATCAGCGTGTCGGTTTCTGCAGGAAGGCAGCTGGGATCAGGAGGGATTGTGCTGTCTCTAGCTCCACTCCGGAGGATTGCCATCTAACAAGGTTGTTTGCCATCGTAACAAGGTTGCGTCTTTGAATCCGGAGCAGGGCTGTCTTTCCATTGCTTTGGACCTTTTCAGTTTTTTCCGGGATGTGTTGTAGTTTCGTTAATGCCCCGTGGTGGCAGATTCAGGGATGTTCTGTTCATTGGCAAGGAGGACCAGCAGGACCGTGTGGCTCTTTGGGCCTCGGTTTCCCTGCAGAGTGGAAGGTCTCAGCTGAGCTAGGACACACTTCTGCGAGGAGAGAGGTGATAGGTGTCTACTTTCTGTTTTTTCCCTGCGTGCTCAGGGACATCGTCTTTGGTCTGCAGCACCAGGTGCTGTGCCCAGAGTGTGGTGTGCTATGTAGGAAGGCCGTGGGGGGCGGGGCACAGGCCTCTGTAGGCTC